TGTCCAAGGTTCAGATATAGCTATAGCTCCCATATATATGTTTCATCCGATTGGGTGTTTAAGCCCCTCACATTCGAAATATGCATTCGACTACAATGATATTTGGTAGCAGATATCTTATAGAGTTCGGAAATACCTTTGCCAAATTTAATCGAGATCGGCTAAGATTTGGATATAGCTCCCAAATATCTTTAATCCAATTTCAGGTTTATTGTGCAAATAATGGTTACACAGACCAAATGAAGTGAATTCCATTTTGTGGAACTCGGCTCCGATATATATTTTTTTAATATAATCCTTCTCGAAGTGATATCATGCACTCTATAGCAATGTTATTTGGTATAAAAGGTTAAAAAGTCTCCGTCAAATTTAGTGAACATCGATTCAGAATTGGATATGCCTCCCATATATTAGTTCCCTCTGAAACAGAACTATAACTGGTCTAAAGATAAATGTTGGTAGGAGCTATGATCTACTTCAAATAAATTCTTTAGTTACGGGGGCTCTACTAGATATGCATAGCGGTGTGGGTATCATATAGTCGGCGCCGCCCGACTTTTGACTTTTTCTTACTGGTTTTATGTTGGACTATGGCCAAATGTAGAGCATCGTTTTGTGAAGAAAAAAAATCCGGTAGACAATATTAATTGATCGATGACAACGTGTGTGGATACACCTGTTTAAGCGACAAAGAACAACTAGTCAGGTTGAAATAAAAAATCGAAAATCAATTAGCAAGTCATAGCAAAGAGAGAATAATGCCAATGAAGAGCTATCATATTTTAAACTTTATTTATGGAGTAATATAGTATATTAATAATGATTTTAAAATGGAATTCTATGCTTTGTTCCAGAACCTGCAATTTTTTTGCAATATTTTGTAATTTTTTTTCTAAGACAATATTATAGCTATTGTCATACAGAAGAAAAATGGCGAAAACACAAACGTCAACAAAACTTCAGCTTTAAGGTCAAAATTGCCAAAGGTCAATTTTTAAAAATTTTCCTCGGGTTCTGAACAATAGAAACGAAACCGTAAAAAATTTATACAAATTTCCAACTAAAATCAATAAACAACTTTCTGTTCGAAAACAACTCAGCGAAATATACCAATAATTTCAAGCTACCTATTCAAATTTCACTTGAAAATATTGTATACAATTTTGAGCTCCAATAAATCTTAAATATTCCAGACTAGCAAGTGCCAATAGTTCGTGTTAGGCCTTTTTCTATCCTCCACCATTTTATGGAGGGTATATTAACTTTGTCATTACGTTCTATGTCGGGCCATGTCGGCCGGAATTGTTTCGCGTTTTCGTTAGATGGGAATTGTTTGAAATTTCGTATTTGAAGATCTTAATAAGAGATACAACATATGACAAAAAAGACATGTGTAGGCTCACCTCTTCGTATAGGCCCTATATAACGGTACTTCCCATTATCTCGTATTTTGATGATTTTAGTGACGTTATAGATCGAAATTGTTTTAAATTTTGTATTTGAATTTCGTAATGGGTACTACAGCCTATGGCAAAAAATTGCGTATGCAGCTCCTCGTCTTCGTATAGCCGCCATATAACGATACATCTCATTGTTCGGTATCCTGATGATTGTATCGAAATTATTCATCGGGCTTTTTTCGAATTTCATATTTGAATTTCGGAATCGGTACTAATAACCTATAAGAACGAAAACGTATAGACCCCATATAACGATTTTCATTTAAGCGGTATTTTTCGAAGATTTTTTTTTAATTAATAAAGTTCCTTCATGGTTGAGGGTGTTAAAAGTTCGGCCCTGCCGAACTTAGATGCTTTATTATTGTTAGTACAAATTGCACATTTTTTGTTTGACGAAATTGTACTAGATTTTCAGACTATTTCAACGTCTCCATGTGTAAACTAATATCAATATAAAATTTCAGAATTTTAGCTCATTATCTCTTTATCAGAACCAATAATTTTTGGACAATTATAGTAGCATTTGTAAAACCACCAGATACTTACAGAAACCACAATATAAAATTTGGGGATTCCAGTTCTATATATATCATCAGTTTTATATATATATTTTTTAAATTTAATTGAATGAAAGCGAAAAAGGTCGGAAATAGCATCAACTTTAATAAAAAGATTGGATTTGTTCGAATTGGTCACCTTTGGCACGAATTTTGACCTTCAAACGGCCAATGAAATCGTCACACGCTGCCCGAATGTTGCTCTGCGGTATTTTGGCCCATTCCCGGCGAAGCGCTTGCCAACCTTGATTTCCAAAATACTCCAGACACAATAGTCCAACGGGTTATTATACGGAGATTTTGGTGGCCATTGTGCGCTGGAAATGAAGCGAAGAACCTCATTTTGTAACCATTCTTGGTTGGCGCGTGCGATGAGTGCGATGGTGCTGATTCTTATTGGAATGTCCAAGGGCTGCGGCCAAAATGTTTGCGTGCCCCAGGCTTAAATACACCCTCCAGAATATAATATTCGGTATAATATTCGGCATTTATTCTGATGCCACGGTCGATTAATACGAGCGGAGAGTGGCCATCGGCTGTTATGTCGGCCCACACCATCACCATGGCCGGCGCTTGAGTTCTGGTGGCCAATCGAAGGTGCACATTTTCAGCTGACCTCTTTGGCCAGTAAACACGGAGAAAACCAAATTCGCCAGTTCACCACTTTCGGCCAAGCGAAGCAACTCTTTAGCTCTTTTGAGTCTATTTTCTTTCCGTTGCGGTATAAGTTCTTGCAGTTTTTGGAATTTCAATGGCTTTACCCCGAGACTATATTTCAATATTTGCTGAATGGAATATTGCGATATGTTCGGCTCAATAATGAGCTGTCACTGGAATAATTTTAACAGCTGGCGGACGAGTGGCCTAGAAATGACAGCAGTCTGAAGTTGGCTGCAGTTTTTCTATCTTACCCTGTATGTACTCAATATCAAATATAGTAGCATTTAATATTTCCCGCATATAATGTTTCTCGTATAATTATAGTACTCATTTTCAATACCACCTCCTGCTATCAATCCCATTTCCAAGAATTAATACTCATACCAAATTTATAGATTATGCCTCTATCCGTTTCATATAATTCTACATGGTACTACATTTTTTAAAGTTTAGTACTTTAAGAACTTTGAGTTTTCTAATTTCGAAATTTTCTATAGTATATCTAATTCCAAATGTCAGATTTTAAGCTCTTTACCTTTCCCCAAATATTAAATTTAATAACTCTTAGCACTTTTAGAACACATTTCCAAATCCACCCCCCATGCTTCAAACCCCTAATATATAATTTTAAAATTCCAACTTTATTCCTCGTACATTTTTCAAAAATGTCCTTCAAATCTCAATCCCACACACTTACAGTGACCCCAAAATCTCAATCCCTTCACATAATTCCAAATGATACTACATTTGCTGGAGTTTAGTTCTTTTGATTCTCTGATTTTTCTAATTTCGAAATTTTCTATAGTATATCTATCAAACACTCCACCAGCTCTGTCCCTTTCCCCAAGGAAATTATCCAAATTTTATACCTCCAAATTTCAGGTTTTTAACTCTATTATTTCCTCGTATACCATAATTTAGTACCATTTAGGCCTTTTTTCGTACATATTTCAAATCCCAACCCTACCCACTTTAATTGACCCCAATATCAACATTTCGAAATTCCAGCTTCATCCATTTAGCCAAACCCAAATTATAACAAAATTTGTACCATTTAATAAAATTCAAACACATAGTACACATTTCCAAAACCACCTCCATACATCAATCCTACCAATCCAACTTAATTCTTATATTTATAGAGCAAATGGTACCAAGTATAGTGCTTTTTATCTCTGTCCTACAACTCATAATCGATTCATATTCTAAATTTCAGAATTTTAGCTCTACAATGAATCCAATTTTTTATCTTTTAATGAACTTAAATTTAGAATTTCCAAAAACCCAGCCTTATATTACCCTAATATACAAAATTCCAAAATTCTTCATTCCGCCGTTTGGTCTGGGCGTTGATGAATCGGTCACCCACTCATCAATCCATTCTTTTCTAAAAAGTTGACGTACCACATTTTTTCTGTCAAAAATATTTTGAAAAATCCCTCTTCTCATGAAGTGACGTAGGTCATGCCAAACATAAATTATTTTTTGGGAGCTTCAAAAAAAAAAAAACAATTGTGTTTACTTTCTCCGCTTGGGGTAACTTCCCTTTGTAGACGATATAGATATAGGACACTCCATAAAAAGTATGAACACAGACGACACTAACGAAGCCATTAATATGTTTTGGGAATGGTCGTGGACTTGTTGTGAACGTTACATTCTGGCCATTAACACATATCACACGACCAGATGGATTGATGGCTCGATGAACAGACGGGTACAACCAATGGTTTGTTGTCTGTACAAGAAACGTCAAACTGTCCCATGACCATGTCGGCGAGTTAGTTTGGGCTTGAGAAATTTACTCACGTAGCAAATGGAAGCGCGTAGACACGATTATACATTTATAGGAGAATGTTCTGAATTTTAATGAGGTTGGGCGATGGGTGTTGGTGTCAAAAGAGGGGGAATTGTGGATGGATGACTTCTATGGAAAGTGAAATTTTGATTTCGTTTTTTTTTGGTTTTGAAAATAAATAAATATCGAATTTTATTGCATTTCTTTTGTTGATGGATAATCAACAAAAATTTCGTGATTTTTTTTGGAGTTTTTTCATTTTTCTTTTTTTATAAATAAATAAAAATAAATAATTTAATAAATAAATAACTAAAATAAAATAAACTAAAACTTAAAATTAGTTTTTGGTAGCGTGCACATTTACAACAGCAACAATTGCACCATCTAAAGACCCCCACCCACACATTCTGGGCTAGGGAGGAGGGGGTGATTCAAAGTACAATTGTTCTGCGACTAAACGAGGTATCCAAAACTTGTGGGATCGTGGGGGGTATTTGAGGAGGGAGACGGTCGTCATATGTTTGTTTACCATTCCTTTTCCAACCAGACGGGTTGTTGGGTGTGACTGTGAGAGTAGACTACGGGTACGGGAGCGGGGGCATGGTAGGCAGCAGCTTGAACGGTGGGAATGGCACGAGACAACATTTGACCGATGGCCAAGACCAACAAGATGACACCGACACCCAAACCCTTCATGGAGACGACGGTCAAAGCAGCCAACAGGGTGGTGATGACACCCACAACAAAGGCACCGGGCACCACAGCAAAGCTCATGCGTTTCAGGAAGTGATGACCAAAGGTGCGACCCTCTGCAAGGGGAGGAGGAAAACAGATTAGAACCGAAATTATGGGGAAAATATTGGATTCAAGAAACACTTACCAGCAACATCTCCTTCGGGTGTCTCATCGCTGGGGATTGTGTCGCACAAGACAGCGTTGAAGAGGAAGCAAGCAATCAACAAGGAGCAGATGACTTTTTGTTGGGCGGCCATTTTTATTTTGTTTTTTTGTTGTTGTTGAGTTTGATCGAAGATAATCCTTGAAAATCGGGTTAATCCACAAAAACTGAACTGCGGTCGAGCTGTTGTCGATGATTGGATGACACTGAAGAAGTGAATGATGATTTGACATTGCCGTTGCTTTTTATTGTCAATTTCTTTGGGCGCACACACCCACCCACACGCACACACGCCACACTTGCCCTTAACGGCAGCGGGAGAAATGCTAATGGCCCACGACAAGAAGCATAACTCTCGTCGTTCATTCGACATTTATGGTCAATCGGTGGCAATCGAACATGAGTAAATGCAAATGTTTCGTTGTTGGCTTGGATTGAAATTGACCAAAAAATTTGTAGCTCTATTTTGATTTTGGTTTGTGGCGAACACAACCGAACACAAGTTCGGTTCGAAGATTCTTTTTAAGGTAATTGAAAATTTCTTTTGTGCGAAGCCAGGCAATATGTGTTTGGGCCATAATTGCGGCATAAATTAGATTCACTTTGACATGACCACCAAGTTCAATGAGAATGCAGACACACATACACACACACACATGAAAAAATAAAGAGTTGTTTGCATTCCATTGTTTGTTCGATGGCTATTTCCTTATTTTGGCAAATTGATTTTGTCATCGCAGTTCGCGTTTGAAATTGAAACGAAATGGCCGTTGGTGACATCAAAGAATGTGTTTTTTGTCGTAGTTGCACTAGATTTGTGAGAATACGTGAGGGGTTTGATAATACGAAACAATGTTGTACCGGTCTTTTTTTGGTCCATTGTACTTTGCTGGTCTCTAAAGGTACACAAGTTACCACTTAGGCCTATTAAGTATTTATATATCATTGTTACGGTCAAACGTGCCTCATCGAAATAACGGTTGTAGACCCTAGGTCTCTTTGTACCAAATCCGTTTCAGGACATTTGGAGTCGATCTAGCGATGTCCGTCGGTCTGTCTGGCTGGTGCACACGATGGGAAGGGAATATCCGATTTGGTCCAAACTTAGTACATTGTTATATTATTATCAAACTTAAGATCGAGTTCGGATATTGGCAATAACGGTCCATTCCTTCAGCTACCTTCCCCACAAAAGGTCGAGGGTAGAGAGAGAGAGAGAGAAAGGATAATCCAACTTTGCAAATCCTAATATTTGCATCAGTGCTAGGTCAGGTGCAATACAATACAATATCGGTCCAGTCCATCAAGTATCTCCCCCACAAAGGGTCAAAATTTTGAATAACTATAACTCTTATAAAATGTGATATAAGTGTCCGATTGTCTTCGAATTTCACACATCCCAACATTTTTTTATTAACCCAAGGTCTGGTGTGAAGATGGAATATATCGGTCCACTTCTTCTGGTACCACCCCCACAAAGGGTCAAAATTTTGAATAACCAAAACCAGCATAAAATTCGAAATAAGCAACTAGTTCTCTTCAAATTTCGCACATCCCATTATTTAACACAAAATCTGCGGTGAAGATGGAATATTTTGGGCCTTTCCTTCTGGTAAACCCCAACCCCCCCCAGAAGGTTCAACATTTTAAATATCCATCTCATAAAACGGGAAATTAACATCCGATTCCATTCAGACTTGGCACACCTCAATATTTCCAGCAACACAAGATCTGTTGATAGAGATCGGACCACACCTTCTAGTAGCTCCCCCACAAAGAGTGAAAAAATTAAATAAATATGATATGTCATAAAATGCGAAATGAGCATCCGATTTTCAAATATCACACATCCCAATATTTCTACTAACATAAGACCTGGTGTGAAGATGGAATGTATCGGTCGACTCCTTCTATAGACCATTTAAAACTTGGAAACCTAAGATTTGATGAGAATATAGTCAGCCTTTCATTCTTTCTGGTACCCCCAGAAAGGGTTTATATTTTGATTAAATATTCGCATTAACTTGGAAATAAATGTTAGATGTTCATCCCAGTATTTTTTCAGTATTAGACGACGGATAATACTTAAGTCTACCACATCTGGTACCTCACACACATTTCCTATTTTTCCAAAAATTATTACATTTCTCATGTAAAGGTCGATATAGCCCACATCTGGAAAAATTATATCAGACTTAAGTCAGATACGAAATGGACAACATCGGTCTACACTTTTGGAACCTCCCAACAAAACAAAAAGTCTTCAAAATCGTTCGTTTTGTTCAAAAGTATTTCAACGTCTCCATATGTAAACCCAAGAAACCCACTGTGACCTCAATATCAAGTTTCTGAAAAAAATTTCAAATTTTAGCTTTATCCCAAATTTAGTTCAATTTAGCACTTTTCAAACAATTATAGTACGTATTTCCAGACCCACGTCCACATCTCAACTAGTTATCTAAATACCAATTTTCAGATCTATTCCTTCAACCAATACCAAAGTTTTCATTTAATTATAGTACACATATTCAAGACCACCTGATATCTTAACCACACACAAATTTCAGGAATTAGCACTATTCCAAATTTAGTACTATTCGAATAACTGGCCATATACATATTTCAATTCCATATACCAACTTTGACCTCGACATCCCATCACCCAATAGCAGTTTTTGTAACACTTAGTACATTTCGTACGTTTATAGTATGCATTTCCAAACCCATGTCCAAATCTCAACTTAAGATACCAACAGATACCTCAATATCAAATGTGAAAATTCCAGCCCTATCCCTTCACCTAATATCAAATATAGCACCATTCAGTACTTTTCGTACACATTTCCCAAACTACCTCCATATCTTAACCACAGACACAAACGATGGCATCTATGTCAAATTTCAGGATAACAGCTCAAATCCTTCACCCCATATCAAATTTTGTACAATTAATACTTTTTGTACAAATGTAGAACGCATTTTCACCGTCAAATTTTTCCGAAAAATTATAGTACACACTTCCAAAACCACCTTCTTTTCGTACAATTATAGTACACACTTCCAAAACCACCTTCAAATCTCAAACCCATATACCAACAGTTATCTAAATATAAAATTGCAGATTTTTATCTCAGTTCCTCAACAAAGACCAAATTTAGTACAATTTAGTACTTTTTGTACAAATATAATACACACTTCCAAAACCACCCACTTATGTCCAGGTAACACATGGACAGCGACCATAATACCAAATTTCCCATTAAAGCACTTTTTGTTCCACCAATACCAAATGGTACCAAATATTGTACTATTTAGTACCTTTAGAGCACTTGTAGCACACCCTTTCAATACCACCTCTTTAACATAAACACCAATACTATATTTCAAAATTTCAGTTTCAACCGTTCACTCTAAACCAAACTACTAAATTTAGTACTATTTAGTACAGTACTAACAATTAGTCCTGAGTTGTTGAATTGGACTTTTGACATTTAACGAGTGAGTTTGGAGATTTGTTTAATAAGTCTACGAAGTGTAAATGTACACATTAATGTGCCGCCGATAGTGGAGAAAAAATTGAAGTGAGAAATCTAAAAATTGATATAAATACCACTGCTGCGGCTTGATCGGAAATGGTAATACCCACTGATGGTGCAAGAAATGTACAAACTCATACAACATTTAGATTTGAAAAATACATTTTGTCTTAAAGAAAAATAATGTAATAGACTTTTAAATGTCTTAACTGTTCATAAGAATCAAAAAATTATTTCTAACTTTAGGTGATTTTTTTTTAAATAACTCGAAAAGATTGTTTAGTTTTTTTTATAGTCAATATTCATACTCTTCTAATATATTTCCAATAAATCAAACTCTTGTTAAAAATTTTTCCAATAAATCAATTTACATCATACTGAAATGTCAAAATTGTTGGCTAATTTGCAACCCCAAAATTAGAACCAACCCCTCAAACAAAATCAGCTCAAAAAAAAAAAAAAAAAAAACATTTTCTCTTAACAAAATTTTATGGTCACGACAAATTTCATTAAAAGCGTTCAAAAAGTCATAAATTTATAATAATTGTACGTGCATTAATTTGTTCTTCGACCTCTTCATTGGTTCGATCGTTCGTTTTGTAACGGCGGAAGCAGTCGTTCGTCGCATTGATTTTGACTTCATTAACGGCTACGCAATTCTTTGCCTCTGGCCGTCGTGTGCACCTTAGTCTGACGTCATAAGTTGGCTCCTTATGGTGGCGGTTGGTAGGTTCATCCGTTCCGAAATAATGTTGAATGTGGTAGCCACGTTTTGTTTGTTTGGTTGTTTGTTTGTTTTGGAAATTGCGGTCGTTATTTATGTTTAACTCACTTTCATTTAATGTTATTCATCATAATTGTCGTTTAGTGCGCAATGGGGTGTGGGTTTTTGAAAAATGGAAATAATAATTTGGAATTTTCAAGATCTACATCTACAGCGAAAGAGGTATGTAAGGTTTCCTAATGAAAACAGATTTTTATAATAAAAAAACTTTGATTTTCGATAACTGTGAAATTCAATTTAATGATGGATATCACTACACAACTTAAAATCTAGCTAAATGCCAATCACCTATAAAAAAAGATCTCCAAGAAATTTTTCAAAAAAAAAAAATAAATAAATAAATAAATAAATGAATAAAATTTTTTAGGTAAAAATTATTTGATTTAATATTTGAAGTTTGTGTCTTAAGTCTTTTGTTTTTACACACTGCGGCTTCAATATTTTGCTTTGCTTTTTATAGCCTCAGCCATATGGTTACAGAGGGTACGTGTCATTTGATATGGCCACAACTTGCCTCATCGAAATAACGGGCATTTGGAGTCGATCTAGCGATGTCCGTCCGCCTGTCTGTCTGACTGGTGTTCAGGATAACTCTCGAAGGAAGTATCCGATTAGGTCCAAACTTGGTACATCGTAATATTACATCGTAATGGTACATCAAACTTAGATTGAGTTCGGAGATGGGAAATATCGGTCCACACCTTCTGGTACCTCTCTCACAAAATGTCAACATTTCTAAAGAAAATAATTTACTGCACAGAAAGAGAAAGGATA